CTCAACTGTATTCCATAGGATCTATATTATTAATTGTTAAAGGAGAAGTCTCCTTTTGTGAAAATGTGAGGAGGTGGGGTGGGGTCTTGTGCTTTTGGAGAAATATTTGTAGTCAAAGTGTTTGAAGTCTTTGTTGTTAACGTTACATTTTAAATAACTATGGTGTGTCATTTTGTGACAGATGTGATTTTTCTAGGTCCCACTTGTTACTCTAGTAATACGATTTGTTAAGTATCATTTGTATCTGTGGTGCTATATAAAATGTAATAATTTTGCCTCCTGAAAGCTGTAGTTGGCTTTTAAAACCTGCACTTGTGTATTTCAGCAGGGAGCCATCCAGTCAGACACTGCAATCTAGAAGTCAGAGTTCTTACACTCACTCTTCAAACTAAGGTAATTCTATGTAGTTAAGAACAAATCTTTTATAACCCTGACTTTAGTTTTCCTGGTCCATTGTGTACAACTATGGAAATAGAAGTGGTGTTGATAAAGCAGTTACCAGAAGGACAATGATTCTTATTTTTTTGTGGAAATGTAGGTCAGACAAGGAAAAGTAAAGTCAAGATTTTAAAACACCACTCTAGCTTTAAAAAAACTACCTTATTTTGTAAGCTTAATCTCCATTTCTAAAAAACCCCACTGCAGATATCAGGAGCTTTTTAGGTCCCTGCCTTTGAAGTATCTGAAATTTTGTAAATTTAAGAGGGGAAAAATTACTATTTATTTGTATTTTCAGAGGCACTGTCAGAAACATCCTTATTTTTTAAAAAGAATTTTTTGACCTGTTATAATACCTTACATTAGAAAGAATCAGTTTTACTTTTCTCCTTTAATGAATTTTTTTATATTTTACATTTCTTTTAGCTTGAAGAATGAAAACAAATTAATTCTTTTTGCTGGAAATTATGTTGCGTGGTTCGGATGCACTAAGCACAAAGTTACTAATGAGGTCTACTTCCTTTGTAGAGCATTTTGAGATCCACTGAAATATAAAATCTAGGTAATTTATTATTATTTTATTATGCCGTTTTGAGGTTATAAACACAGCATACACTGAAACATTACACAAAAGCTGTTTTCATTTATATTATTGTTAGGTTTTCTATCATTAAAAAAATCAATTAAATTTGAGCCATAGCCAGCTAGTCCAACCTCTTTTACTTAGTACTGTAATCGGGAACATGTTCATCTATGAAACACTTTTGCAGTGCTACATATGGACAAGTTTTTACTCTTGCTAAAGCCTTACATAGTTGTGAGACCAATAGAAGGAAGAAATCTCTCTTCCAACAATCTTTTATGGCTGGGCTGATAAAGTGCGGAATCTGTGCCCTGGCCAACATTAGTTGTCAGGTGCATGGCAAAGGGGGCAAGAGAAGGAGACATTGTACCTCTGACATTCAGGGCTTTTAGCTCCTTTCATTTGGTGAAAAGGCACAATTTAGCTCTAAATTATTTTTATCACATGATAATGGGAAATTTAGGTGTGATTTTGTTCCAGTAAAACATGTGCAACAATAGAGCACTCAAACTAATATAAACTAGTACATGATTCATATCCACTTATTTATATTTATTGTGAAAAAATGTGATGCAGTAAATCAGCCATATACACAGCTTTGAATTCCCAGCTAGTATGTTCTCAATGCATATATAATATACTACAATTAATCTGATTTTTATGGCATCCTTAATATGCATTATCTCAGAGTCCTTACAGAGAGTTCATTCTGTGGCAAAGAGAAAGGAAAAATATTTAAATGGATTTAAGATGAATGTGCGAGTCATTGTGTGGGAGGGAGATGGCAGAGAATCCTAGATACAGGGGCATACAATAACATAAGTAAAAGATTAACTTTGGGAGGAGCACAAAATTGTAGAAATGGGAGAGGAAGGAGACTAGATAAATGTACAGTTAAAGGGGCAGTGTGGATAGAATCCAGTGTTGCAAACCAGGAAGGGACTGCTGCATTGGAATAAGCAGGAGGCTGCTGAAAGTAGCAGAGGGGAGATGGTTCATTGACTTAAAAGCACACACACAGCAAATGGAGTGAGCGTAGAACCACTAGGCACTCAGGCTTGCATTAAACTAGCCTGGGTAACAGTAACAAAGATGTGGTAGTACAGGCTTCAGTGCAGGCTAGCCACCGTAGGCATAGGCATGCGCAGCACATTTCATTAGGGTGTGCACCCAAAGAATTGTTTTTAAATGTACTCTTTGACACCCATTAGCCAGACTCCTGACCCCCATTAGCCACGCCTCTGGAGGCAACACTCTCGGGGCAAGATGGACACATGACCAGAAGTAAAAGGTGGCACGCGACCCCCCCCAAGGACTTTTCCCACCATCCTCCAACCAACAGCGATTAGTTTGGCCCCCACCAAATCCCCTGCATGCAACTATCCTGCAATTGCATTAACCCAATGTGTGTGACATTAACTCGGGGGCGGAGAGGCTGGGGGAAGTGTTCCCTCTAAGAGTTTCCTCCCATGAGCAGAATGAATTTTGTGTTGTGCACCAGTACTGAGTTCATGTGGCTTGTTTGGATGTGCCACTGTGGCACCCAAGTTATTAATGAATATCTTATAAATCTTTACCTTTTCCCTCTGCTGCCAGGTCTCCTCCCCTTGCTCCATCAGCTCCCCTGGTGCCTGCTGCCCCCAAACCCTCATCCTCCTCTGCTGTCCTGATGCCTGCCCTTCTCATTGCCCTCAGCCTTCCTGCAACCTGCCCCCCTCCACCAGCCCTTCTCTCCCTTCTGTGCCCACTCCTCCAGTAGCCCCACTCTGATCATGTGAGCTACCCCTCCTCATCCCCTCTTCTAACACCTCCCTCTACAAACCTGCCCTGCGTCTCTCCTCTGGTGCTGGTCCCTCCACTGAAGGTGTCTGCCCTTCTGGTTCACCCCCAGAATACCTTGGCACCTGCACTTTCCCTTACCCTCCCCCCCCCCCCCCCCCCCCCCCCCTGCCTCTCTCCTCCAGTGCTGGTCCCTCCCCTGCAGGTGTCTGCCCTTCTGTTTCAACCCCGGAGTCCCCTGGCACCTTCACCTTCCAGGTGCCTCCCCCTTCCTTCACTCCCCCTGCCCCTTTTGCCCTCTTTTCCCCTGATGCCCACCCCCTCACCACCCTCTGCCCCCATTCCACCTTCCTCATGCCCACCCCTTCTTTCAAGCCTTCTCCCAGAACCTCCCCCTCTCTAGCCCCCAATGCCCTTACCCTCTCATCTCCCAGCATCACCCTGTCCCCCCTCCCACTGACACCTCCCCTCCTCATTGTCTCCACTTACCCCCCTCCACCCTGTCCCTTGGTGCCTTCCCCTTTCTTTTCCTGACCTGCCCCCCTCCCATCAGCACAATCCCCTTCCTCTCCCACCCTTTCTCCCTATTTTCCCCCCTCCTTCCCATCGCCTACCTTCTGCCTTCAAGTTTGCAAGCTGGAGTCTGCTGTGATCAGACCCCAGAAGTCCCCACAGCCCAGGCTCCAGACCACATACCGGACCTAGATCTGGGCCGCTCGGTGTTCACAGCCCCAGCCCAGCCGCCAGCCCGCCTCTAGCCAGGCTGTGCTCCCCCACGCCCCACTCAACGCGTCTCCTTCCACAATCCGCGGCTTGGCCGTTTTTAAAAATGGCGCTGCAAAGCCACGCCGACATGTCACTGCCCCCTCCAGTGCACTGCATGTGACCCCACCCCCGGCGCAGCCCCAGCTCCTCCCAATGCTGCCGCCTTGGTTGACGGCTTCTCTTCACCCTGCCCGGTACCTTCCCCAGCCGGGGTCAGCTTGCCGGCCTCCTTGCCAGTGCCCCTCCCGGCTCTGGTGCAAGGGTACAGAGCCCGGTGGCTCAGTCCCGCTGGGCCAGTCCGCCTCTACATTAGGATGTGCCTAGGCACACCCGGCACACCCTGTGCACATGCCTATGACCCTAGGAGAAGCCCAGCATAACTTGAGTGGAAACTTGTCTTGCTAGTCTATGCTGAATTCTCTGCTGCCACATTAGCTACTATTGTTACCCATGCTAGCTAGAGTGACAGTCACATGTTAATTTGCTCAGGGAGGGAGAGAGAAAACTGTCTCAGCACTATGAATTTGAATGAGCACTGTGTTAACAATGGTGACATGCTTGATGCTTTCAAGAGCAAATTCAAATAAGTTCAAAGGAACAGAGAGTGGCCCTCTGACACTTCGAGAAAAGGTGTTTATGAAAACCATATAAAAATGAACTGCAATTCAGATGGGAAGAATTTAAGACAAATAAGAATTTCATCTGAAGCAGGTTTTGAAGTTTCCTGTGTAGCAATTAATTGTCTTACTGTCCTAGATGCTGGAGCTGTACTTTATTATTGATATTATACTTCAAATATGTGTGCAACTCCGTTTTAAGAAGCAGAAATTTACAATTAAATTGTTACACTTACCCCTGAACCCTGTTCTAGCCAGAAACTTAACCACCAATTGCTGAAGGCTGAGCTGCCAATCATCAAAATAAAGAGAAATACAACAAAGGAAGACAGTATGAAACCTGCAAATGGAACCAAAAAACAGATAATGTAAGAATGTTTGAGCATATTCTACTCATATACTCTGTTGGGTATCTTCTCAGCAAAGACTCTATTGTTTAATGCATATTTATTCTTCTCTTCCTATGCAGACTGCCATTTACATCAATGTGGGGACAGGGAGTTAAATTCTGAAGTCAAAGTGAGTTTTCAGTGTTACTTTTTCAGCAACAGTATTTGTGCCTATGGCTAACATAAGACCCAGAGAGGGAAAATCTTAAGAGTAGCAATGTGCATATGTATTTACATAAACACAATTTCTCTTTGTAATTGTAGATTAGAAGTTCTTTTGAAACAAAATCTCACAGACTCCCTGGAAATCTGTGGGGTGTGTAAATCTGAATCTGATCCCGACCTACATTTGACTGCTAACTTCTCTAACTAATGAGCTGGCCCAAAACCCAGATGTGAATTAGTGCAAGCTTCAATCTTGAAATCCCAGTCTGGATCCAAATTTTGCTTGTCAGGCTTCTCTCTGACTAGTATGTTTCACATTTTCTTTCTAATAAATGTCAGAATGCCTTCAGTTATTACTTACTTACTAACATATTTCTCTATAAAACTCAGTGATCTGCAATTCTAGGTTCTATTAGGAGATTACAATGCTTTGTTTCTTGAGAACAAAGCAACCGTTTTATTGTTTGTCTAATTTCAATAAGATTAAAGCAAGAAACTTTAATGGGGTAGAGACTGAGTCAATCTAAAACTGAAATATCAAAGTTTAGATGTAATGAAAAACACCAGAAAGGAATCCTAGCTTTGAAAATGGAAATATCAAAGAAAAATGCAAAGACATTTTTGCAGACTATACCTCCAGAAGCTTTAATGTAAGTGCGATAGGTTTTCCATGTCACAGAACCTTCTTGTTTTTCCTCTTTTTGAAAAAGCTGGTTTGCAGGAGCTACCACACAAACAAAATGCATACAAATAAAATGCATCTAGTCATTCAAAATGGTTTTTGAATAACTAGAAAATCGTGATGACAATTAAAATGTAAGTAATATGGATTTTCTAAAAATGATAAATAGCACATACATTTGAATGCAAAACTCTGTTGACATTCTTGTTCTACCTCTTCCTCCTTTGCAGAGAAATATGCATGCTAAGGCAGACCAAAAAATCAAATCTCTCTGCCTCACGTATGATAGTTATAAACCTGTGTATATCACCACACTGCTAACGTATAGCATCTAATGTGAAGGGAGAGTTTTTACAGTTAAACATTTGCTCTCTATATTAGTTCTTTACAACATCCCTGTAACTTTGATTTAGCTCTGAAAATGTCTTTTTTTCCCTAACCCTGTTGTGTTTCTCTGAAAGGATTTTAAGAGCAAATATATACCAGTTCTTGAAATAACAGTTCCAGCCAATTTGGGCCATACAAATGAGAAACTCCTGTTCAGCATTAATACTGTGGCCTTCGGTTCCACTGATGGCTCTGACTGGCAACTTAATCATTGTAATTTTAATTTCTTCATATTTGTGAGAGACGTGCTTATAAGTGACAGTGTCAGCCATGCAACTGAAGGAACAGTGTCAGTGCTTACAAGTTTCCATCTTGCAGGAGAGATAACAAAACGGGCTGTGTCCTATCTTTGCTCCCTCCTTCCTGCACTTTTTTGGCCACAAGCCCACTTTTCCACAAGTTATGTTTAATACATTTCAAAGTTGCTCTTATTCTTCCAACCAGTTGAAAATGTCTCTCAGGTTGCCTCACCTGAAGGTGAAGGAAGGAGGAGGTAGGCATTCCTTACTGGAAGTCTCATTAGAACAGCCACCCACTCAGACTTACTATCTGTCTCAGTTGCTCTAGAATAGAATTGGTTGGAGGCACAATGGCAGGGCAAAGGTGGGGGGTGTTGGTGCACTGAAACTTGCTGTGTTGTGCTTGTTCCAAAGGGAAGTTATGAGCTTACAGTATTCTCCATGTGGCATTTTTCACAAATATTAAATTAATCTAAAACTGTTCCAAGAAGCGAAGAGGTAATGGTGATTGATCTGCTTCCCTGCCCATTATGCACTAACATCCCATTATACTGTACAAAGACAGCAAAAAGACAGCTCTCCTAGGCCAAAAAAGCAGTGCAGGCAGGAAGGCCTGAGGAAAATAAACTAATTGGTGGGCATAGTACATTTTGAATTCAGCAATCTCTTTCAAATCAGAAATATATATTAATTTACAATTAAATTATTTTTAAAAACAATTTAGAAAGATACACAAGTGAGTGTTTGTAACATACCTATCTTCTTTTCCCTTTGTGTGTCTCTCTCGGGTTCCTTTTTGATGATTTCTTCATCGGACATTAAAAAAGCTATGGGAAAGATAGAACAGTTAGTCTTCTTTTTTAAACAGCAGAATATAGGCAATTCCGATTATTGTGTTAAATTATATTACCAGGATTATCAACCCCTTTATAAGAACTTCCTGTGGAATCATTCCTATCCTGAGTTTCACTCTCTGATTCTATGACTGATTCAGTCATAATATTTTCTGGATCCTGTAAAATAAGAAAAATTTACTTGTGAGATCTGAAACCCTATTTTCAATATTCTAAGGCCTGTAAAAGTGGAATATGCTTAATATTAAATGTTACCTTTGCTTGCTCCATGTGGAGATTTTGGATTAGCTGAGCATAGCGTCCTTGTTCTTTCATTAAATCTTTGTGAGTTCCCCGTTCATGTATTTCTCCATCTTCTAATAAAATGACTTCCTCACAGAATTCTAGATACTACAGATTTTTAAGAATGGACCATTAATTCCATAAATATTGTAACTGCATTGGAAATAAAGGCATCAGCGTTGTGTTTTCAAACTGAATGATAGTAATTAACAGCTTTCATTTCACAGTTGAGAAAACTTCAGCAATTCTATGTTCATTTGCTACATTCATGCAGGTGTCTATGCCTCTGTCTGTATGCCACAAGGGAATGTGTAAAGGAATTAATTTAAAAGATGACTTTCCAATACAATCAATTTTGTTTCAAAAAATGCAGCCTATGTTACCAAAATAGCTTGTTTAGGTTCTGCAGAACTTGATGCTCTTCCCTTTAATTTAGTCATCAGAACAGATTCATTCCTTAGCTGTACTTATAAATGGTGAAGACCACTGAGGGGAAGAACTGTGAAAAAGCCACTTGTAGCTCTCTAATTCTGGGTCTGGGTCTGTGCTGGACCATGTGTGGTTTAGTGGAGCCTTAGGGCTGGCTGTTATTTCAAGGATCAGACACGTCAATTGGAGATTGTCAGAGTACAGTCCATCTCTGGTCACACACTCATCTTGGCATGACTCAGCATGTCAGTTGCTGAGGAGGGGAGGATAACAGCGGGCTATGGTGGTTCTACACCACCAAAGTATTTCTCTTTGGCACAGCATTTCCAAGATGACTACTAGTGTTTTCTTTCCAATCTCTGTGGGCCAAGTTCCCCACATTATTAGTCTCACAATTCCACACATAAAGGGAAAATCCTGCCTGTACTACTACAGGTGCAGAGGGGTCCTGGGCAGCAAAACTGGTGTGGTTGGTGCAATAGTGGAGAAGGGGGGGGATGTTCAATCTGCAGAGGGATGCACCACACCTCTGCAAATTTGCTTCAGCCTGTTGCTGTCATGGAGTGGTTCTAGCACCACTGTAATGTCATTGCTTTGATGATTCTTCTTCCCCTCCTGGGTCAGCTTATAGACCAGCCAAGACACTTGGCTGGGGCACTGGGGACTGCTTTAATCCCATACTTTTCTTAGAAAATCTTTAAATAAATTCACCATCTCTATAAGGCCTAGTACAACTTCAATATGCACCTTTCAGCCTTTCCTGTTAAACTGGACTTCTTGCCCCTTGGCAGGCCCCTTATTCTTTCCCCAAATACATGCCAATATGTGATCATTACATGCAAGTCAGGTCTAGACTCTTGGGTTTTGTGCCTCCAAATGTAATGGGTCTTAGAGAAGCTGAGAAATGTGAAGTAGATAACTATGGGTGCATTTACACAGCAGCATTATTTCAGAATAATGGCCATTATTCCGAAGGAACAATGCGAGCATCTGCACAGCAATTCCGTTATTTCAAAATAAATTTGAAATAACGGACAGCTTATTCCAACTTCCTGTTTTGGAATAGTTACATATTTTGGCATAGCTGTAGTATGGACGCTCCACTGCTGCTATTTCGAAATAGCTCCTCCCCAGGGCCATTGAAACTAATTACTCCCCAGTGCCTCCTGGGGCTCTAAATAGGGGTAGCACATCCACATTAGTGCCTGAGACTAATTTTGAGGCTTCCCTGTACTGTAGACATGCTATTTTGAAATAGGCTGTTTCGGAGTATTTCTTCCAGAATAGCTTATGTTGAAACAAGCATGCAATGTAGATGTACCCTATTACTCCTAGGAGAATTCTACACCAGTATGCACATGCAGAATTGATGTCTGGCATAGATTTTTCTCCCCACACAAAATATACATTTTGCCTGAAAAGTGCTACAGTTCCACTTTTTACCCCACAGAGGCCACTCTGGCTACGTCTACACTGCAATGCTATTTCGGGATAATGGACCATCCTGAAATAGCCATCTCACATCTTCACAGCAGCCCATTATTTCGAAATATAATGGGCTTGCTATTCCAATGTCCCTGTAAACCAGATTCCATGAGGAGTAAGGCACATTTTGGAATAGTTGAGTATTTCAAAATTTGGCACTCTGTAGACAGTGCCAAATTATGAAATAAGATATTTCAGAATAAGATTGAAATAAGATATGCAATTTGCATACCTCAAATTGCATATCTTCTTTCAAGCTATGGTGCAGTGTAGACACACCCTCTAATGCCACAACAGCCATGAAGAATTTTTAATTTTTTGGCATAGAGTTTCTCCACCCCCCCTAACTTCTTTGGGGCAATTCAGATTGCATCAACAAGTCCTCAACCCAGCCACCCCTAGTAATTTCAAGGGAGGCAAAGGTGCAGCTTTTCTCTGCACCAAACAAATGTCTCTTACAAATGCAGTTGTTGAAGGGTACTCATACCACTATCTCGTAGTGTGCACTCATTCATTTTCACCATCATTATGTAGATTTTTTCTTTAGGAAATAATTTAGGAAAATAAATTAGGCCAACTTGATTAATATATTATTAAGGTTGCCTGGTAAATTCTTTTTAATAAGCAAAGCAAAGGCTTCTACAGCAAAGTCTGATTTCCTATTTTTGTTTTTCTACATCGCTCTTTATGTTGTTAAATGTTACCACAAATAAAGAGAATGGGCAGAGTGGTTAAGTTAACATTGCTACAGGAACCTTACATTTTGTATTGACTGAGTTTTTCTTTTCTTTTATCTGATCAAACTCAATGTTGCATTAATTCAGATTTTGGCATTTAGTGCTTGCTACGCTAATGGCTTCCATTAGCGTAGGACATTCTCTTCCAGCTTGTGCTTATCTGCAGTATAAAATGTGGCTTCAGTGCCACCTGCTGGCACATTGCTTTTATATTGCTAGCGACAAAAAGTAAAAGACATGAAAAGGCTGTGCTAGATCAAACACCTTCCCGTGCCTACACACACACACACACACACTTGCCATTGGGATGCTATAAGAAATGCATTCCATGTATAAAGGCTCTAATGCTGAACAAGGACATCTGTGCTTTAATTAAGATTTATAGAAAATAATGACTTTTGGAAGGGAGACAGTTCCCTATTTTGTTAGTGCAAGGAGGATAGGCTTGAAGCACAGTAATTTAGATTGCAGAGAGATGTCTGCTCAAACACAAGGCATTGCACTATATGGGCATCATGGGCAGTTGGTGCATCTGGGGCTGAGGGAGGCAGGCCTCCAGTCCCACCTCCAGCTCCACCCCCCTCTGCTGAGACCCCAACCCAATGGGGAGGGGAGGAGGCAGGCAGCATGCCAAGCACATCCCGGTCTCCCCGGAGCACTGAGGAGGGGCAGAGAGGCAAGGGGAGCATGCACAGAGCACAGGTCTCAGAACACAGGAGTAGGAGAGGTGGTCGTGTGGTTCCAGCCTCCCCTGCCAGGAGCAAGAGGGAAGGCAGATGTTGGCGGCAGCAACACCTGCCCCAAAATGCCCATAGTAGGTGTTCTGGAGGTGGAATGTGGGCGAAGCCAGGCTAGTGGTTAGGTGTTCTGGGGGTGGAATGTGGGCGAAGCCAGGCTAGCGGTCAGGGGCAGACTGGCAATCAAAATAGGCCCAGGAAATGGGTTGAGAATGGCCCACTTTTTCACATCAAACAATTTTTTTAAAATTTACTCTTTGATGCTAAGTCGTTCATAATGTCCTCATTATTTATTTCAGACAGTAGGTCCGAGCAGAGCCTTTTCCTGCCTAAGCCATCAGACGTCCATGATGGGCATATCTATACTAGGGAGTTATTTCAAAATAACTTATTTTGAAATAATAACTCTCAAAATAACTATTTCAAAATAATATGTCCACACTACAGTGAAGCTTGGAAATTAGTCTGAGGCAGGCTCCCTTAATGTGCTACCTTGTCTTAGAGTCCCAGGAAGCTCTGGGGAGTAATTACTTCTAATGACCCTGGGAAAAAAAATATTTCAAAATAGCAGCAGTGGAGCATCTGCACTACCGCTATTTTGAAATAATAAGTGTTATTCCTCATGGAAAGCAGGAGGTAGCATGGACACTCCACTTGTTATTTCAAAATAACTCCCTAGTTTAGACCAGGGCTATGTCTCATGAGAGGCAATGATGGGAGGGAAAAGTTTTTCCTGCCGTGCAAAACAAAATGAGATTTTAGATGTGTATCCTTTTCTGCATTGGGATAAACCCATGAGCTTTTGAAGTGTTGTGCCCGTTTTCAGAATACCCACAAGCAAGAGCTCTCAGTCAGAATGTGGGAAATCCAGGTTGAAGTCTTTGGTCTGTATCAGACAGAGCAGAGACTTGTACCTGCGTTGCCTGCATTCTAGGAGGATGCCCTAAAACAGGGCTACTCAACACCCAGCATGCGGCCCCTTTGTTTGTGGCCCACGGTGCAGTTTGGGTTTACATGGGGCTCAACACATGGCCTGGGGGTGGGAGCCAAAACAAAAAAGTAGCCAGTAAAATGGTCTTCTGTTGATATGCATTTTAGTAGTTACATTCCTGACTCACATTGCTCATTAAAAGTGCTGTTGTATGGGTGGAAATTTAATAAAATGCAATATTTACTCATATAATCAGAACTGATTTAAATGGGGTCTGTGTGTTGTATAGTCTTGCCTTAACCTTTGTATTCATGCCCATGAGTGTGAAAGAAGCTATTTGCATATATTTGCATATATATTTGCATGTGTATGCAACCGTGCTTAAGTTGCGCCCCTCGGTATGTGTTGTGAGTATCATTGTGGCCCCTGGGGCTTCCAAAGTCAAGGAGGCCTGCCCTAGGAGGAGAGTGGCCTGCTCCTTAAAGGCCAAATGGCCTGCAGGTTGTTAGCCTCCACATCATTCAGTCAGCCCACATGTGATGCAATTAAGCAGCTGCTTCCCAGCCTGAGGGAACTAGACTATTTGGGATCAAGTGATAGCATGAAATAGTCTTAAAAGGACTAAGAAAGCTCAACTGGGGAGATCATAGGGAGCAAGTTGGGTTCCTGAGGAAAGCTTTCAAGCAGGGTCTGAAAAGACCCCAAAGAATCAGCGTAGGTAGTAGAGTTCTGTTCCAGAGCTAGAATGACTAATGCAGTGAGAGGGATTAGCCTTTGAATCCGAATTCTGCCTCAGAGCGCAGACACTTTGGCCATTCCTATGCAGCCTGCAGAAACTAGCCTTCCAGCCTGAGCAGACAGACAGGCTACGTCTAGACTGGCATGATTTTCCGGAAATGCTTTTAACGGAAAACTTTTCCGTTAAAAGCATTTTTGGAAAAACGTGTCTAGATTTTTTTTTTTGCGGAAAAGCGTCCGTGGCCAATCTAGATGTGCCATTTTCGCGATCGGGGCTTTTTTGTGGAAAACAAATCTCTGCTGTCTACACTGGCCCTTTGGTGCAAAAGTTTTTTGGAAAAAGACTTTTGCCCAAACAGGAGCAGCATAGTATTTCCGCAAAAACACTGACAATCTTACATGAGATCGTCAGTGCTTTTGCGGAAATTCAAGTGGCCAGTGTAGCCAGCTGGCAAGTTTTTCCGGAAAAGCAGCTGCTTTTGAAGCATTGAAGACTCCAGAGTGGGGAGTAATTAGGCTTGGAGCCTGAGCTTCAGCCCCAGCTGAAATTTCAAAGGTTTGGTTCTGCCTGTCTGCATTACATACTACATCAGAAAATCAAAATGTTAGCTTCTGGGACTCTATTGCTATATGCAGTGGTATTGGTATTCTGACACTTGGGGAAAAATCAAGATCATAAACATGGAGCCTGATTGGAGGTCAATGAAAAGACTCCCAGTGACTTCTATGCACTTGAGATCAAGTCCATGGAGATTGCTGCTCAATTATGTTTCAACTTCAAGTTTTGTAGCTTCTGGCTTCTTCATGTTGATTTAAAGCTTAACATTCCCCTGCAATTCTTGGACCTGGTCATTATATTTGCTATAAAAGTGTGAGTTCCAATTTATAGGGTTGCCAGGTGTCTGGTATTGACCCAGACAGTCGAGAATTTTTGCCTCCTGTTCAGTAAAAAAAATGCAGAAAATACCGGTCACCTAAAATGTCCAGTATTTTTTGTTTTTTTCCCTGCCAGGAGGCAAAAATACCGGACACCTGGCAACCCTATGACACACTCAGTAACTGGGCCCAGCCCTCAGCCCCCGACACCCCTCGCCCTCAGGACCCCTGCTTACCTGGTTCCACAGGGAAGCTGCGTTCTGGCTTGATCAAAAAAATAAAATGCCTAAAGGCTAAGGGGAAGCAATGCCTTCCCTGGGTCTTAGTGCTCAACTGCTCCTCTGATCCTATCCCTATTTTAACTCTTCACGCACTGAAAGGACCATGCTGTTTTAATGCTGTTTTATTTTTTAATTTTTTAATTTTTTTATTTATTTTTATGCTGTTTTATTTTTTAATTAATTAATTTATTTATTTATTTTTTGCTTAAATCTGAGTCCTTTTTCTTTTCTCAACAGTTTTGGTCTCCTCCCTTTTTTTCCCCCCTCAACAGAACTTTTTCCCTGGTGGCTTTTTTTGGATGGGGGAGGAGTTCGGTATTTTTGGTTAAACCATCTGGCAACCCCAGTTCTAAATGTAGGATAGTAGGGGTAGTTTTCAATAGCTATTAACTTATTACAACAGTCAAATATGAGGCTGAAACTATTTGATTTTTCCATTGTTATACTCACAGTAATCTCTAGTGGGAAACTAGAACACCTAATAAACTAACAACCAATATCTTATATTTTATATTATTTTTCCCATAATGTAGCTCAAATGGTATAAAGTGATAAAAATGGCTCCCTATATCCAGTGCTAACAAGTGTGAAATGAAAAACTGGAGGCAGTTGATTAAATTGTCCTCCCTCCTAGAATGTACTCCAGAAATGGAAACTCAGGTGGAAACTGAAGAAGATGGATTGATCTGTCTGTCTGCCTACTCCTATCATCATAGGTACTTGAGTGTCTTCCAAGTATTAAAAAAGTTAAAATAATAATTATAATTTGAAGAGAAACAACTATAAACAAAACTGCAATTTTGCCTTATTTATAGCAATAGTTGATTTAACCTTCAGAAAAAAACTCAGTGAGAGACTACTTCATTATTTATGAAAGCATCTCTATCCCCAGATTTTAGAGACATTTAAATGCCAACTAATTGGTTCCTATAGTCAATGTCCTATGTATTCCACCATTCGATGGCTGGAATTTAGTCATGGAATGCATTTCCTGCTTCAGAATCTAAGCTTTAATTTAAAAAATATATATTTTTTCAGTTCTTTGGATGACAAAGAAAACCATTAAATTATGAAACCAATATAAACCAGCGCAGGGCTGTCTGTGTGAGTCCAGACAACCTGAAATAATAATTCTCAGCTATATTCATCTTAGTAAGATATTGACCATGAAACCTAAAGATGATACTTAAAATGACTTACCTAGTTCACAAATCATTATAGCAAACTGACCTAAGGTCATTCAAGAAATCTGTGTTAGAGCCTGAACTTATCACATGGACCTAAACATTAATTATCAGATTGTACTACATTCTCCTTTTTTGTTCTGTTCCCCCAACACAGCACTTATCAAACAATCTCCAACATACTAAAAAGGGGGCGGGGGAGTCTTCTCTGAGTAGAGTTTTGCTTACATTGTTTTGTTTGTAAGAATAATATTATTTTACATTTATACTTACACAAATATATAGAATCATAGAACACTAGAACTGGAAGGGACCTCAAGAGGTCATCAAGTTCAGACCTCTGACCTCACGGTATAGGCTTTGAAGGGACCTCAAGAGGTCATCAAGTCCAGACCTCTGACCTCACAGTATAGGCTTCAAATATATTTCATATTTATAATTACTGCATTAAAAATAATATTTTTAATTACCTGTAGTTGATGAGTTACAAGGATTACGGTTTTTTCTTTAAGGGCCTCTTTAATGCATTTTTCAAAAATGTGTTTTCCAACATGTGCATCAACTGCTGATAAGGGGTCATCCAACAAGTAAATATCTCTATTGGCATAAACAGCACGAGCCAAGCTAATTCTTTGCTTCTGGCCTCCAGAGAGGTTAACACCTCTTTCACCTAACTTTAAATAGGAAAAGATAAGTTCACTGCATGAATTTATTGGTGGTAATTCATTTGATTTTATATGTGCATATAATAGATGGTGCTCCACTTATCTATTACATGGTTTACATAAAACTTTGCATTTTAAGACCCTGTTTTCACTTGTGTATAACTTTGCCAAGCTAGGCATGCTAAGAGCTGGAACCTGGGGATGAGGCATGATACTGACCAGGAGGGAACAAGTAGACACTGGCAGGGACAAGGTCAGAAGGATCTGTAATCATTAGAGCTACAGTAACTGGTATTGAACCCATTAATCCTGAATCTCAAAATTCTCTTGCTGTTTAGTAAATGGCTATAAAATCTGCTAGCAAAGGCTCTCTCTCTATCCCTTCTAGTGGCAGGTCCACATAGAAGATAATTGCCTTCTGCTGTTATCAGTTTCTCTGTTAACTCAAGTCATAAAGAGGACTGTGCTGCAAATGTAAAGATCCCAACAATACTGAACCATAGGCATGGTTCCATACGGTTCCATAAGACTTAATATTTAGTGTTTCAATTTTTACATTTTTAAAGAAACTTAGGAAACTTAAATATAAAAATTTAATTAAACTAACGTGAAGTTTAAAAAGTCAAGCACTCAAAAGATATGGAATAGCAAAATTCAGGTTGCATATGCAAATATACTTTGTTTTTCAGGAGGTTGACATAATACTTGACCTTGAAGTGTAAGGGTATATAGGAGATTTTCTTTGCTTTACATTGTAGCAGACTTTTCAATGCCTTGTGATCCTCTTAATTGCTTTCTATGACACTCCTGGGTGTTGCAACTCACCAGCTGAGAAATATTGATCTAAATATTCAGGGTCAGAGTCTCAGTTGCTGTAATGTGATATAGCTCCATTGACTTCAGGTTTCACAGTTGAGTCAGGAATCACGTATAAATGACTAGCAAATGGTAATTACAGATATTCACAGGAATACTGTCTCTGCAGAGAAACAGCTCAGGGAACACTATCATTCTCCCAAATCTGCTTCCAGTATATAATGGCTTCTTTGATTGTTCAAAAACCTGCTGCAAACCATTTCATGTTCCTTCAACTTGTGTGTCTTTGTTTCCTTGTCTAGGATGACAGTAACCCATTTTCCTTATGGGACTTAAAAACTAGGTGCACAGATATTTATGTACAACTTTATCTCCAGAGGCTGTTATATAAAAGAAACCTTTATGAAAGACTCTGAGTAGTAAACTATGACCCATTTTGGGAATCATTGTCACAAAGGTGACCTGCAATTGTTGAGAACAACATAAAACAAAATTTAAATTGTAACATTTAGGGGGACATTGTGCTCTGAGAACATTCTACAAAGTAGATATCTTTCAGCTTCAGTAACAGATCCAGTACAAGAGGTCTAGAAACTTTATGGACTATTTAAAATATTTTGAGAAGTGGATGCTATTGGATTGAAATATAGGACTACCTCAATAGAAATTTGTAAAATAAATACATACAAAAAATGATCAATCATCCTTTTTCTGCGAGAGGATGCTTTTCATGGTTATGTCAGCTGTGTTAAGAATGTTTTAAGTAAAATAGATATTACTGCTATAACACAATTTTGATTTCATTTCATTTGATACAAAATAGCTGTCACTTGTGAGTTTGTTCTTTTCTTTAAGCAACAGCATAACAATATTTATGTCTATTAAAGCTTTCTCGAGGATTAGGGCCTGATTCAAATCCTGCCGTGGCCAATGTAAGTTTTCAATTGACTTCAGCAGATTTTAGTTTAAGCCACAAAAGCAACATACAGATGGCATAGTTGATAGATGAGATCACTCCTGACCTAAGTACTGTAGTAGGAATATGTATGGACATACTGTCAGCAGACAGACTAGGCTATTACTGCTGCCCTTCACCCTATATACTCTTCAGCAGACAGACTAGGCTATTACTGCTGCCCTTCACTCTATACTCCATGGCAAACTGGATGCCTGGATTATGCAGAAGCATTCCGGTGTCACAGACTGGAACTTCTATGGCAGCTTCATTTAAACCTTAAAGCACAGTGTTTGATTTAAACAAATGTGAAAAATGCGAAGAATACAGTGACCCCTGTATTTATTTTCATATTCAATTTTTTTTATTTTATGCTTGTCAGGATGCAAGCACAAGGGAGATAAATCCATAATCCTTCCCTGTCCCTTTTGATCTTTATCCTTTTCTCCCTTCAAATTTGTGTGCTAGGAATAGTGCAGTTAGCATGTGGGAATATGAGTACCCTGTAAACATCTTGGTATTTTCTCTTTTGTGATATATGATATCTCTGTACTAGTTTTGTGTGTTGAAACTAGAACTTGTTTCATTTGTGTATTGAAAAAGTTTATTAATAAATAAAAATACTTTATGCTGTCCCCACATTTTATCAGTTTTCAGTATGTTGAAGATTTTTAATTGACAACATAGAACTATTATGAAGAAGCTATTGCAGTTGTATGTATAGGGCTAAGTTAGAATTTATTTTACTCCAGGGAGAATGGGGCAGTAAGCTTTGGAATGTGGGATAATCATACTACCAGGATGTATTCAGCTTGTGTGCAGCCTTTTAAAGCCCACACTGTATGTTTTACATTCAGTTCATTTTTGTAGGATTTCTTTTGTGCAGCCATACAAATAGAAATGAGATATTTAAAAATACTTTGAAATCTCCTTTGTCTTTAACACAAATGTAGAGAAAAATTAGTCTGGGATTTGGTGTGGGAGGGGTAAATTGGAGTGAAAGTGTATTGAAAATTGAACACAGTGGGACTCTACTGTCAACTTTTAACTAGAAACTCTCCATAGTATGTTCTAATATTTTACTAGATTGCATAATCAGACTTACTTCAGTCAAATCTCCATAAGGAAGAGATACCATATCTGACTTCAGACTGCACACATTGAGTGCATAATTGTACCTAAAGAATGAATTTTCAGCATTAATTCCTCAAAATTGTCTTCAGTACAAAATCTCATGCATTTTGAATTACTGTAGCATCTCTGTTGCAAATACATTGATTTGAACCACAATAATTCGGTGATCATTCATTCCTTCAGATCCAGCACTTCCCCCATGTGTTCAATCTATGTGTACAAGTTGCAGTTATATCATACTGTGACACTTGCCGTTTAAATTCTTATACCATATCAGAACATGAGTAGATATAGTGTTGCACTCTAACATTTCCAATTGAGACCAAAAGCATCAAATCTGCAATCCCAGTTTAACATACAAATTCAGAAATGTAGGGATCTGAAATTAGACCTTAATTTGGACCTGAATCATAGTTGCTTCTTATATGTCGAGCTTTTTGATCAGTCAAATACTGAAACCTGATTCTCATTTACATTAAAGGCTCTTTGCACCACTTTGTCAGTATGACAATGCATTTAAAAAATAGTGCTAAGTCCCATAGTGTTAAGCTAGGTACAAATACAATAAGGATACACTCCTTCTCCTGGAAAGTTTACAATCGAAGGCCTTGTCAGTAAGGAATCTGTGCAGTTCCATCTGCATTTGACCTGTAGGAATTGGTTCACATAAGGACACATTTCTCGGGTGTTGTACAAAAAAGACTATGATTGGGACACTTCTCAAAGATAAAGGAACTGAGGCAGGTGTACCATAAGGGGAGAGAGGTAACTGTTGCACTGGTATTGCACCTAAGATCTGCTGTTTCTATCAGAAACTGAATGTTATCCTCAGTGGTGACTCAACCTCCACTGCCAAGAGCCTCAGGGATATTTCAGAAGACATGGAAGCAGCAGAAAAAGAGCCTAGCCCAGAGGATGAAATTACTGATGAAGTGGTGGAGCTGGACAAGGATGTGGAGGTCACCTGGTGGGGAAGACCACCAAGAACTGTTCTTTACTTCTGAGGTTCATAGCCAGTCCTCAGTAGTTGCTCTCTGGAGCAACTGAGGTAGTAGGAGATGAAACACAAGTTAAGTGGCTATGCCTTGTGTCATGTGGAGAGGGAGATATAGAAAAGTGGGAGGCAGGTTGTGTATCTATGAGCTGGACATTTCCCGTGGTAGCTAATCAGTACAGCAGAACAGGGTGTTGAATCATGCAAAGCTCTCACAGGAATCTCCCAGAGAGCGCCCCGGGAGGTATTCATTAATCCTCTGCTAAAGGTTGCAGGAAAGGGCAGCTTTCCTCACCACCATTTCCCCTCCTGCCCCCCATTTTGGGACACTGTCCCACACTATTTTGCAGTCACTTGTGCAGGGAGCAAAGTGGCACACAGGTGAAGCTGTATATCAAGCAGGGCAGAAGCTACCAACATGCATTAGTTGTACCATGGTTTCCCTGCTTATTCTCAGTAGTGAGATGTCCGCTAGAATGATCCCCACCTGTGGAAAAGTGTGGGAAATTTTAGAATAAGTTCCCTGTAAAACTGCATTGCAAATCCTGTACAGTCTGTATTTTCTTTTGTCCCAGCAATGCTCACCATGCTTTGGGTGCTTGCAGAAGTTTGTGCCTGGCAAGAGTCAGTGAGAAAGTGATATTGCAAAAGGTTCATATAACTGAAATGTTTCAATGCTGTTCTTGAATTTAACAATCCTCCTGTGCATTGTCCACTTGTGTTTCAGCATATGTGAGAAAATTGAAGTTTAATTACCAAAAATCATGTTGTGACTACAGTTTAATTTAATTCCTTTCAATATATTGGTCAGCATGGTGTTGAGTGTTGAAATATGGAACTTCACAAGGGATATGTCTAGATTACAGGTTTTTTTCGGGAAAAAAATAGCCTTTTTTCGAAAAAACTTCACCTGCGTCTAGACTGCAGCCACTTTCTTTTGAAAGTAAATCGAAAGAATGTGGCAGCTTTTTCGATCACTGTAAACCTCATTTTATGAGGAATAACACCTTTTTTCGAAAGTACTCTTTCGAAAAAAGGCACTATTGAATGCAAACTATCCTTTTTCAAAAGAGAGCATCTAGACTCTCTTTTGAAAAAGTGGTCCGCTTTTTCAAAAAACTGCTTGTAGTCTAGACACTCTCTTTCGAAAGAGCTTTTTCAAAAGATTCTTTCGAAAAAGCCTCTTTCAAAAGAGGCTTGCAGTCTAGACGAATGCCAATCAGATATATATTGAAAAAAGTTAATAAGTGCTTTACTTAAATATTACCAGAGGACCAAATTGAAGGTTGCACAGGCAACAATCCACCTGACATTCCCAGATTTGGGAGTTCCTGATTTTGTAATCTCTTTTAATCCCTTTTAATCTTTAACTTTGTACTTTTTAGTGATTTTTATGGTTTAGTTTATTCATAAGTAGCCTTAACTAACAAATAAAGGTTTTTTTGTTTATTATGTGTACCTTCATAGAATAATTATTGCCTTTTAACTGCATGTAAGTGTTCATAATCTAAAGCCAGTATTGTTTGGAGTCATTTTTGGGGAGTGGTAAATGGTGTTTAAGAAGAACCAAAGAATTTGCCATGCTTTTTCAAAACTTGCTGTAATATATGAATGCCATAGAAAATGGTTATTAACTGTCTTTTTCTGATATTCCAATGCCAATATGTTTTAATAAAATAGCTCCAATGCTACTTAAGGAAAATAACTTATTGAATTTTTAAATACAAACCATATGTCTGGGATGTCTAATGGAAACATTTATCTGAAATATGTATACAGGCAAATTCATTACATTTCCCACATGGTTCAACTTCATAAATTCGTGGGTTGAAGGCAATAGCAAATACTGAGTGAAACGAACATATTTGGGCATGGCTACCCACCAGCACCTAGGCAGATTTAGCAGGTTAGATACTTGAACAAGACCCCCCTCCTTTTTTTTTCAAATGAATTCAGGGATTCTTAATCTGTTGTCCATAAAAGTATGACAGAACATGGTTGAAATTACATAATTATTATCTATTAAAATGTTACTTTTTGTAGTAGTTTAGCGACAGGAACTTGCTGGTTTTATGCAATGCTGTCATTGATAAGTAGCAGAAATGCAGAGGAAAGTTTAAGGATATTACAGGAGCTCTTTATTTTCTACATTTTCCCATATTTCTTTGGTTTGAAGTCTCCTAATTTAGTTCATCTGTTCCCATTTTTATTTTAAAAGCCTCCTTCCACGTATTAGTGTCCTGTTGTGTGATGTGTGGTCCATGTGAATATAAAGGAGAGAAGCATGTGTGTAACGTGTGTGACAGGTTGTTCTGTCCCATTAATCAAATGCAAGAAATACAGGTGTTCCCTATTAAAGGGCTGCAGGAGAACTGGGATGCTTAAAACAATCTGCAGAAAGGGATGGGCAAAGGGAAGCCCTGCTACTTGTGTTAGGGTAGAAAGCTCCAGCTGGAAATTTTGTTTTCCTTTTGTGACGTGTTTGGACAACCAGAAGGGAGGGCCTAAAAGCTGATTTAGGCCTGGCTGATGTTTCCCCAGGCTGGTGGAGAAAATTTATAACTAATTAAAAAAAAACCTTTTTAAATATTGTCACAAAACTAAATGCAATATACACTGACAACACTCGTGAGCTGCTGGGTTTTTTATTTCTGGGGATACTACTGGTATTTCATTTATTTGGCACCCTTAATAAATTTATTTTATTTTAGTGCCATATGAATGCAGCTAACATTTGATCATGACAACAGAGATAAGGTGATAATTTAATCATCATTATAGCATGTGAATACCAGTCCTGAAGAATGAAAATGTCCAGCCGCCTAGGTCAGTCACAAAGACAGTAATGGCTATATACAACCTAACATTAATTTAACATGACTTTTAAAATAGTCCATTGTCTTTTGATATTTAAAAATTAATTAAAATAACTGATCATCTTGATCCTTCAGTTGGTGATATCTGAAGTCCTTATATGAGAGAGACCTGAAAGTTTCAATTCTAAAGCTAACTGGGGCTGGGAGCATCAAAGAGATGATACTATATATCTTGTGACTGAGAATGTTGCATATCTCTCGCCTCAGCAGTCACTGGTGAATGGCTGTGAAGTTAATGCCTTTGAAGATAATATTTGGCATTGATGGTTGCAGTATGAGTACACAATTTCATTGGGTATGGATAGGAGCATTGGAACTCTGAGGTCCAGGTTGCATGTATGTGTGTGACCATGATCAGTTACAGGTCTTCTAGTAGAAATGAAGGTGGCCTGGGAACAAACTGAATCAGTATAGCGGCAATGATGGAAGTCAAATACTGTAATAGGGATTTGTAGAGTGAAGAAAACCACATGTTAAGTCGCTTTTGGCCACAGTCAAAAAAGGGAACATACACACATTTGTCTTCTGTTGTATGTTTGTGTATGTACACATATGTAACCTCCTCTGTCCAATATGGAAGCTTATCATTAGAGTAAAAGTATTGGTAAGATTTCAATATTCCAATAATTACCTTTCTTCATTGTATTCTTCTCCAAATAGTATATTCTGCATAACATTACCATGAAATATCCATGCTTGTTGAGACACATAAGCTACTGTTCCATCAATACCTACTGTCCCATCATACATATACATCTGAAACAAGTAGATTTTAAATTTAAATTACAGAGGTCTTTTAATCATCATTATAACCTGACTCAAACTGGACAATCAGCGAGAATGGTTGTTTTGCTTATGTGTTATCAGTATAATTCTTCATTGTATAAGTAACAGGTATCTAGGACATGATTAAGAAGGACCTGCAGTTCCTTTGAAAATCCATTTTCTGGCCAGCTGGTGAGAGCTAGTGAGTACTTTTCCCTTTTGAAAATCATGCCATTTATTTGGGTGTCTAACATCAGACTCCTATATTTGCAAATCTTAGCCATAATATTCACTTATCCTCATACTGAGACCCCCACTTCAGTCTTTCATCTTTTGAGGGTGGTTACTTATTTGGATCTTTTTCTTGGCCTAAAAGTCAAAAGAAATCTATGATTCTAACCCACTTTCCTTAATGTCACATACCCAAAGGACAGGCAGTAGTTACATTCGGCCTTTCAGATATATAACTAAATACTTCCTCCAAGAGCAGCTTAAGAGAAAGCTAGCTGACATAGTTTCAGCACCTTAGTGTCAGCCTTTTCAAAATAGTTGACAAATAATAATGTACTACAACAAACAGTACCAAAGTATTCATTTGATATTATTTCTCCTGCAAATAAAAATAAATAGTAATTATAGAAGTTATTCTATGGTGATTACCATACCTGGCCTAGAATAGCTGATATGACGGAGCTCTTTCCACTTCCAACATTTCCAAAGAGACATATTTTGAAGAAAATTAATCTATATTTGTAAAGCAAGAATTTTTTAATGTCACATTGCCCATTGTTCTGTGATCATGCCACAGATATTTCATATCGTATAACACCTGCCAATTCAGGGAACCATCCTTATTCAGGAAGACTGCCTAAGCATTTAATTTTAAGCATATGGATAAAGTGTTTTCCTGATCAGTTACATAATTCATATTTTACTCCTAAGAAGACAAAGCTAAAGGGGTTTGTTTGGATTGATAGAACGCTATGTAAGGTAGCCCAAAACAAGGGTATTGTAAATAACACAGTAATATAATTTTTAATTTTTTTTAAGCCCAAAACAAGGGTATTGTAAATAACACAGTAATATAATTTTTAATTATTTTTTTTTTTTTACAAAAAATCCATTTTTACTGTGTAGAATGCATAGTCTATAGCCTTTTCATTGATATAAGTAATTTACCAAAAAAAACCAACCCCAAAAAACCTTCTGTAATCTGGTGACTGGTGGATAAATTAAGGCTTGTATATGAAATTTATTTATAAAAATCAGTCACTGTTTGGCATCGAGATATGCTGTGTTTGTACCTAGCACAATAGTTCCTTATCTGTGACTGTAGCTTCTAGGTTCTACTGCAATACAAATAATAAACAATTATTAATTATCTAACAGGTACTTTAGAAACCTATGCTGCACAAGGAAAGGGGTTTTTCCGGGGGGGGGGAGGGGGGGGGGGAAATTGATTCTTTTGTTCCATAGCTCAGCAAATGCTGTGCAAAGCAGAGATAACAAGGGACCCAAGACACCAAAATCCTTGCAGGCAGACTTTTGTTCCATAGCTCAGCAAATGCTGTGCAAAGCAGAGATAACAAGAGACCCAAGACACCCAAATCCTTGCAGGCAGATTGTTAAGTATTCTTTCTAAAAAGAATATTTAAAATAAACTTACCTTCTTCACAGTAAAGCTTAAGTTGTATAAAGTAATGTCTCTAAAACCCTCTGTTCCCATTTCTGTGACTGATGTCTGAGAGTGAGGCTCTGGTTTTGGTTGGAGTTTATAAATGCTTTTCTCATTTATTATGTTTTCATTATTGTTCTTTCTGCTGTGTTCATTCAGACGTTTCCAAGACAGTGTAGCATTTTGCATTACCACAGCATTTTCTGAATTTTTCAGTTGCCTTACATAAACAGGAGGAATTTCAGTTAGGAGAATTTTCTAAAATAAAAGAAAAGTAAAGAATGACATTTATTTATCAAACTATGAAAAGTGGAAAAATATTATTCTTTTGATGAATTTAACAAAAGACTGCTACAAACATGTTAGTGAAATGTGGTGACATTCTGAGCGAACTTTCAGTGAAGCAGAATCAATTCAGACATTGCTTTAGAAATACTACAAAAATATTCAAGAGATTTTCATTTTTATGGATTCAAGTATTTGTATAAGCATTTGAGCTTTTGTACACTGTCCCATTGTTTGGGGTTCACCTTAAACAATTAATTTGTTTAGTTACAGTAAAAGTCCACTAAGTAGTTCTAATTCAAAAGAGATCCATCATGTAAACCTGCAAGTGAGACACCCAATAGTTTTCAGGATCAGAGCCTTAGAGACCTATATGCTATACAACACTATTTGATATTTGTTATAATATTTTTTAGAAATATCTGCTGCTATTTCATATCTCCATTCGGTGAATGGGGTTGATTTCTCTTTCAGTGAAGCCAGGCATTCCTAGGATAGACATATTACGTGAAACAAAATAGAACTAATCCAATCAATTGGCCCATAAAAAGACTCTGGAAATCAGAAAATTTCAGAGTTGGTATGTCTACACTACAGAGGTTATTTTGGAAAAACAGCCGTTTTTCCGAAAAAACTTCAATTACGTCCACACCGCAATCACATTCTTTTGAAAGAAAATGGAAAGAACAGAGGAGTTTTTCCAAGATTGGTAAACCTCTTTCTATGAAGAAGAAGCCTTTTTCCGAAAGAGTTCTTTCAGAAAAAAGCATGTGCAGATGGGGTAGAGGGAGTTATTTCACAAAAAGAGGAAATAAGAAAAAGCACATTTGCCCTGATGACCATTCTGTCCATAGCAATCAAGTTTACATGTGAGATAGCATCCACACTGAATGGATGCTCTCTTTTGAAAAAGTAGATATCTTTTTCGATGTGCTTTGGCAGTGTGGACTCTCCCTTTTGGAAGTTTTTTTGGAAGATCACTTCCAGAAAAACTTCTTCCAAAAGAAGCCTGCGGTTTAGACATAGCCCGTATGAAGTAATTTTTATTTTATACATATACATATAATACTCATACCAGTTTGCTTAACAGTTGGTTTATCCGTTACTTTTAGGTTAACTCCCTTTAAACACTAATTTAAAGCTCACTATTTCCACAGAATTTTAACAGGAAACATAGTATTTTAATCTTTCTTCTTTTCTCTTGTTTCATTAATTGTTTTATTTGTACAGAACCTATCAAAATAGTGCCCTGGTGGAGGCTCTTAGGCTCTGCAGCAATACAAATAATTCTACCAGAAGAGGAGGAATTAGTGGCTTCCTATTTGATAGATAATTATTCTGGTTTTATTTTTACAGTTGAGATACCTAATCCTAAAGAGAAAACAACTAAAATGTTTTTACAGTTGAGATACCTAATCCTAAAGAGAAAATAACTAAAATGTGTAGTGTATGTAGGTGAGTAGTTTTCTTTTAATTATTTACTAAAGTCAGTTATAATGGCTGACCATTGATATCAATGAGAAACTTTCCATTGCTCTGAACAAGTACAATTATAATTTATATTAAGGGATCTTTGTCTGGAAATGGGTGACGAGGGAAGAATCACGTGAGGATTACTTGTTGTATTCCCTCACACTGGGGTATCTGGCATAGGCCACTGTTGGCAGACAAGATACTGGGCTAGATGAACCATTGGTCTGACCCTGTATGGCCGTTCTTATGTTCTTAAGGGATTTCTGCACTGAGAAATTAATTCAGATTAAAGTAGGGTGTGAATTTAAAACAGAAGAGCTATCTCTGATTAACTTCCTATGTAGCTGCTCTTTTTAAAGAAGATTCTTATTCCAGTTCAGTTTTATCCACTTTGAAAGATGGTAAAGCTAATTTGGAATAAGTTGTGGACATACAGGGAGTTAATCAGGAATTCCAGGAATACTATCTCTGTACAGATTAGCATTTGTTTGTACTTATCTAGAAAATTATCCAAATATTTTAAAATAATGTTTTACCTTCAGTCTTTTAAGGGAAACTTTAGCTTCTGCTGCTGCTTTCACTGAGAAAGGCAAGATAGCAATTGAAAATTTCATTACATTAAACATGGAAATCACGGTAAATGCCTGTAAAAGAAAAGGGAGAAAGGTTTTTACTGTTTTAGTACTGACCATTATTTTTCATGAAAATGCTAAATGTATTTATGTATTATATTTTAAAGGGTAGGGAAAAAATTATCTATGTGGCTTTTATTTGTGTGGTGTTCATTTTCAGAATTGTACTGTGACTGGCTAAAGAAAATGCAGCTGCTTCCATTTTTCAAGTCATTACAAATATGCAAAATAGCATTGGCCCTATTACTGAACTTTCAGGAATATGACTTTATGAGGATTCTTCCTTGCTCTTCTATCACTGATTTCAGTGAAGCTAGGCAAGGAAGGAATTTGGCCTGTTAACTAATCTCTGAACTCTTTCTGCAAACCAATTTTCAATCCATCTTGCTATGTTTGCAATGTCTAGAAGCTGCCTGTGGGATACCTTATAAAAGGATTCATGGAAATCCAAGTCACTCTTATACACTGCATTCCTCAGTATGCCTTGTCAGTTCTTTAAAGAAATCAGTCAGGCTTATTCTTAATCAACCCATGTTGGCAAGTGCCTAAATCCTGTTCATATACAGGCCTGCTGACAGGGGGGCAAAGAGGGCAACTGTTCCAGGGCCCAACAGTTCCAAAGGGCCTTGGAACTGGGGTGAGGAATGCATCGTGGTCTGGACAGCACTTAGGGTTGGCTGCCCTGGCCTCTTCTGCCTGAAGCCCCACCCCTTCTGTGAATGCGTAGAAGGCCCCATCCCTTGCTCAGGGGCCAGCGAGTCTGCCAGCTCCCCTGTTTACGTATAATTGACATCTCTAATTTCATTCCTAATAAATGAACCCAGTATTTTCACAAGACATGAACAAGACTTCTGATTTGTAATTGAAGCCTCTAGTCTGCAATGTGTTTTAAAAATTGGTAGTACATCCACTTTTTGCAGTTTGTGCATTATCTGCTTACGCAGCTTCATGAAAAATAAAAAGATGCTACTGTTTTTGCTTGTTCCTTGCTTAATTCCAAAAGTTATTAAAGGAGCTGGACAGGCTCAGGAAACAACTGCCTGGGGAGTTTAGGTACTGGGAGAGTCCGCACCGCAGGAAACTAGGCAGGTGGACTTAGGCAGAGTCAGCTTTTTCCTACATAATGTTTGAATTTTGTCGAATCAGCATTTTCCAATAGAACAGTGTTCTTCTGGAAAATTTTCAACCAGTTCTAGTGGACAGTGAGGAACTAGTCACAGTTGCAGCCCCTGCTCAAACTTTACATGTACCCCAGGCTTCCCAGAGGAGCTAATACAGGATAAAGTTCACAAAACTCATCTCAGGAGATTTCAACATCCACAAGGGCAAGAACTTTGATATAATATCAACCTCCTATCCAAACTATTCATCTTTGTTTTCTCATGAGGAATCTTTGGAGTCCCACACACAAAGCATAAAAATATACAAGCAACATACCTGGAATAAAGAATTGTTTCAAAAGACATCAGCAGATCTTTTTACGAAACAGTTTGCTGTGAAATACGTCACCTTTGGGCAATACTCTGCACCAACTCCCCATTAATACAAATCTAGTTTAAGAGTTCTAACCTGACATTCAAAGCCTTCCATGGAACTAGCCCTATTTGAGAAATCCCCTCTATGGTCTTGACTTTCATGTCTCACTGGAACAACAAAACGATCAACAGCATGGGAGATCAGATGTTACAGAAACTAGACCAAGACATTGGAACACACTACCAGACATCAGAATGACAGCAAATCTCACCAAGGGTGTGTCTACTCAACAAAGTTATTTCGTGATAACGGCCATTAATCTGAAATAACTATGCTAGCCTCTATACAGCAATTCCGTTATTTCGAAATAATTTTGCATTAACGGACGGCCTATTCCGATTTCGGTAAGCCTCATTCTATGAAGAATAATGCCTATTCCAAAATAGCTTTTTCAAAATAAGGTGTGTGTAGATGCTCCACTTTGGCTATTTCAAAATAGCCCCTCACCAGGGCCATTCTAAGTTATTCTTCCTGGGGCTCTAAATCAAGATAGCATATCTACATTAGGGAAGCCTGCCTCAGACTAATTTTGAGGCTTCCCTGCTATTTCGAAATAAGCTATTTCAGAATAACTATTCTAGAACAGCTTGTTCCAAAATAACTGTGCAGTGTAGATGTAGCCCAAGTTTACAGTGAAATGTATGCAGGGTATGTCTACACTGCAACATTATTTTGAAATAACTAGCGCTATTCCAAAATAATTTTGTCCATGTCTACACAGCAGGCACTTATTTTGAAATAGTGTTTCAAAATTCACTATATACGCTGTATATACACTGGAGGACTTCTTAATCCAACTCCTGTAACCCTCATTGTACAAGAAATAAGGGAAGTTGGAGGAAGAGTGCTCTATTTTGAAATACACCCTTTTCCCGACTTACAAACCAGTTACAGACCAAGCAATTGCTCATAACTCGGTTCATTCATAAGTCAGACCCCATAGAGTTACATGCGACTGAGCTGTTCGTAGGCATGGATCGTGTTCATAACTCGGGGTCTGCCATTTACAACAGCTTCGGTCGTAACTGCGTACAGTCATAAATCGACCGTTCACAACTCGGGGGCCGGCTGTAAATGCTGTGTAGACACTCCCTATTTCAAAATAAGCTAATTCAAAATACGCTACGCAATTGACATAGCTCAATTTGAGTAGCTTATTTCAAACCCTGAAGTGTAGACACCTCCTTCCCCCTGAATATTGATCCCTTCTGCTTAGCTGTATCCCTGTTTTCTCAGTAAACACTTAAACTGTATTGAACGCCTCACAGGCTGGAGAGGAAGAAAGAGACCACACTATTTCTATTTTTAAATATTTGGGAAGTGTTCAAATGCTGGTAGGTTAGGGGCAGGAAAAACATATGGATTCATTGGATAAAATCGTGTACCCATTTCAGTTAATGGCAAAACTCTAAAAAATATATCAGAAGCTATAGTCTCTTTTAACAGCATTACATGGAATCTTATCTCATGTTTTTTGCTGTTTCATTATTTCAAAACAGTGGGCTGGTTATTTCAAAATAATAACTTCTGCTTTCCATGAGGAATGACACTTATTTCAAAATAGTTATTTTGAAATAGCAGTAGTGTGGATGCTCCACTGCTGCTATTTTGAAATAACTCCCTAGAGTCATTCAAAGTAATTACTCCCCAGTGCTTCCTGGGGCTCATGACTTAGAGCCCCAGGAAGCACTGGGAAGTAATTACTTTGCATTCACATTAAGAGAGACTACCTCGGACTAATTTCGAGGCTTCTTGGTAGTGTGGACACGCTATTTTGAAATAGTTATTTTGGGAATTATTATTTCAAAACTAGCCAATTAGCCCGTCATAAGATGGGATTTTCAGGTCTCTCCTTCATGTTGGTCTTCTCTCCTGAGCCTCTGGTCTCTCTCTCAGCTCTTCTGCCTCTCCCTCCGTCTCTCTCTTTCTCTTCTCCTTCCCCTCCTGCCTCTCACTCGGGGGACTGCGGAGCCCAAACAGCTGTTTGGGCTCTGTGCTCCCCATGCTGCATGGGGAGCGAGGAGCACAATATTCGCTTGTGTCACATGA